ATTTCACGTAGGTTATCTTTCCGTTATTTAGCCGGTAAGCCTCATGCACTAGTCGATCTGGAATTCCGATGATCGATCTGCTTGAAGTCATGAGTTTGCTGCGCCAATTTCATCGATCTACCTTTTAGCCCGTGACAATATGTAAAATTTTTAAGGAAAATTCGGCAAATGTAGATTCTATAACTTTTAAGAAAAAAGTTCAAGAAGAACAGGAAGATTTTATGAAACGTATGACGAAACCGAATATGGTTGCTGAGAATTTTGCTCTTCTTGAGAATGTGCTCGTGATTACTGTATGCATATTAACTCGTATTCCGCTATTTATCGTTGGTGCGCCGGGGTAAGTTTTATTAATCATTTGATATACTATAAAAAAAATTATTAACAGCAAGGTTTTTTTTCTTAATGAATCTAGTGCATCAAAATCCCTCGCTGTTCGTCTAGTTTTTCAAAGTCTCCGTGGCAATGATTCTGATGACCCCTACTTTAGAACTCTTCCTCAAGTAAACAAAATTAAACCAGTTAATTGATTATATTTTATTCAAAAATTCAATTTTTATGAATTGCTTACCTTTATACAGGTATACTTAGTTCCTCATCAAGGATCATCATCTTCGACATCTGATGGAATTGTTAAAGTATTCAACAAAGCACACAATTACCAGAAAGGAAACTCGGAAGAATTTCCATTAATCACTGTTGTTTTACTTGATGAAGGTAAATACTTATCTTGCTATAGATATTCATATACGTATGACTAATTGCTTTTCGTATAATATTATATTATTAATATTATTATTTCATGCCTTTAATCAGTTGGATTGGCTGAAAAAAGCCTTCATAATCCATTAAAGGTTTTGCACTCTTTGCTCGAACCAAATTATCCTTTCGAACTTCCTGAAGTTGCTATTATTGGAATAAGTAATTGGAGATTTGATCATTCTAAGTCAAGTAGGGCTTTACTAGTACAGAGGTTTGTAAATGTTAAATATATATGTATATATATTGTGGATAATTCAAATATACCATTTTTAGACCCAACCCTGAAAGCGAGGATCTTATTTACACAACGAAATGTTATTGGAAAAGAACAAAGAATTTCAATTAGTTCAATTTAAAGCTTTAGCAGAATCTTATCTTGAATACAAGGAGGTTCAGCCTATCAATAACTTTCATGGGCTTCGCGATTATTATTCCTTGGTTAAAAGTCTTGGTGATGAAGAAGTATTTGTTATTTTCATGAAACTTTTCTTTCACTTAATAGTGAGAATATACTTTGATCTGATTATGTATTATAGCTTGCACCAATGGCGCTAGCAAGAAGTTTTGGGGGAACTAATCAAACGGATGAACTTTATAAAGCTCATTTTAGTAAGGTTATAAAGGTGTTTCATGGCTCTGTAGATAACTTAAACAGCTATTCAATCGAAGATCTTATTAAAGGAAATTTGAAAGATAAAAACGCACGCCATTTAATGATTATTGGGAAAAGCAATTCAATCGTAGACATCCTGACATATAAATTAAAACAGTGTAATAAAGAGTTGATAGATAAAGAATCCAAATTTAACGATGGTAATTTTGATTTGGAACCACTTGTTATTTATGGTAGTCAGTTTCCTGACGATTCTGGTGATGATTATCAATATAGTGTGTTAAGCCGTATTATGGTGAGTGAATTTAGAGTTAGAACCTAAGCATATTTTACAATCCGGATACTGTATAAATGTGACCAAAAAAATAAATCCATTTAAATCAGGATATACGTAAATATATCCGGATTGAAAATAGGATTTATATGTTGATTTGGAATTATTAGAGCTAAAGTAAGGATTAGATTTTTAGGTGTAATACTATATTTAATTTTAGTTCTATTCCTAATTACAATGCACAGTGAAACCTCTCTTAGTACTGTACACTCTCCATAAGTGTACACCCTCCCTAATTGCACACTCAAATTTTGGTTCAAATATGCATGCCTCTATAAATGCACTTTTTCTTATTGTTCCTAAGTGCATTTTGTTAAAGTCTGATCCTGTGAAAATACACTTAGAGAGGTTTCACTGTATACAGTATCCAGATTTATATTATATCCGGATATATTCATTCCAAAAAATTGAATCCGGATTTATTTAAATCCGATATCTAAGTTAGCTTAATTTATCGTTACTAGTGATACAATCGTTAATAATATTTATCCTATATAGATGTGTGTGGAGGCGGGAAGACCGTTAATTTTGACAGAGTTTGATACAATATATGGTAGCAATTTTTATTTTTATTTTATTTTTTTTAATATATATGTAATATTTAACATGTACCGCTTGTCATTAATACACGCATAAATTTTTAAAAAAATTTAAAGGAAGTCTTTATGATTTATGGAACCAAAATTACATAATTGTAGGAAAAGAAGGAAACCAAACATTATATACACGTATTGCGTTAGGAGCTTATTCAAATCCTATGGTCTGCGTTCATAATAATTTTCGATGTATGTTAATTCTTGACGAAGAGAATGTGGATTATTCGGATCCACCATTATTAAACAGATTTGAAAAACAAAAAATTACTATCAATGATATAATAAATGACAGCATGAAAGGGCTATTAAATGAACTTTCAAAATGGACAATGCAAATGTCAGTACTCTTAAATATAGAAGGCAAATTTAATGAGAATGACATTTTTATTGGATTTGATGAGGAAGAAACATTACAAAGTTTAGTAATCTATATTAGCAACGATCCAGAATTAAGAGATGAAGCAAGCATTTTACACAGGTGTAAAGAGCAATTGATAGGCATAGCATTATCGGATGGAATTGTACGCTCAAAAAAATCGATGCTAGATAATAAAGAAAGAAATTATTGGTATAATTTTTACTTCCAACAAGAACATAGAGATTTCGCTAGTTATATTAGATCATTGTTGAATGATGCTAAAAAAGCACGGGGCTTTAGCTCGATTATTTACACATTCTCGAATGTTAACACCGATATTGAATTTTGCTTAAAAAAAATTTTAAAATGTCAGGTCTTAAAAAAATTTTTAAAATGTCAGGTTGACAAGCTCTCAACGTTTAAGAGCGAGGCTCAATTTCGATTTCGTGTTAAGCATTTCTGGTTAGAATCTGAAGACGATATTTTAATTCTACAATGCGATTTGAATCCAGCAAATTCAAAATGTATTAAACATGCAAAATTTATTATAGAACAATATCAAATTGAATTTATGGAAAGTAAATACTCTGCCATACAAGTTAAACATGTTTGCATAATTCTTCACTTGAGAAAAGAAAATACGACCTCTACGATATCACCATTTAATTTCATGTGTGGATGGGATTTATTTACTATCGAAACCTTAATTCCTCAAGAATATCCCCTTACAGCTTATTTAGATAAGGATTTGATAAATGTTCTCAAAACTACTTATACATTTGAGAACGTCATAGATCATGAATTGTTATGGTGTTTGCTTCGCATGGAATTTCCTTCATTTTATGAATCGGCTGATTATATTAAGTAAGTCTTTTTTTTTTGTATATCTTAAAGTTGCAAATAAGTTTATTGGGTTAGGTCGATTTGAAATTAGTCTAAACTTTGAATATTAAGTTCTAATTTGATGCTCTGGGACAACCCCGTTTGGGGATGGCCAAAGCCAGGTTCATCACAGGGTTTATAATTGAGGCAATTTAGATTTAGATTAAGATCGAGGCGGGTATTATAGGTCAAATCGCCCTCTCAACGATGTCATTTACACGAATATAGATTTAGATGCTTGTTTCATTATTACAACCCTATTTTATACTTTTAATCGCAAGATATTTCTAATAAAAAAAAAATTGGTTTTTGTTATTTTATAGATCTCTCGCTCAAAAAATTCCACGTAACAAGGAATTTATGAATTGGATGAAGACTAGAATATTTGAATGCCTTCATAATAATCTGTTCAAAGATTGGCAATTAGAAATCGCAATAAACAAAAAAGATTTATATCTATATTCCTCGTTCTTAACTGCTTTACAAATATATATTCGTCACCAGGTTAGAAAGCCTGTAGCTCAACTTCTTTATGCTTTAGAAAAGCTATCAGGACTTTTAATTCTTGATAGTGATGGTTTATTTAATGAAGAAAATAAGGATAATAATAAGGATAATAATGCTACATTTACTTTCTGGGAACCGATATTAATGAATACCAAGATTATTATGATTGAGAATATTAAGATGCCTTATACAATAACAAACAATATTCGTGGTTTGAAACTTCCATTTTCAAGATACTTCCTGGAGCAGATTGAAAAATTTAGAAGCATATATCAAAATGATTTAATGGTACTAAGATAATATTGATGAAAAAATTTGTAATCTCAAATCACCCATTGTTGAAGAATACATTGAAAGATTTACTGAACGCATTATGTCTATAGTTCCTGTCTTAAAAAAATTGACACAATTTAAATTACCAAATGCATATTTCAATGATTTTGCGACTATTATTTCACATAAAACAACCGATAACAGCCAAATATTGCGCCGGATTATATCTTATCATATGAAACAAGAAGTACCGAATCCTATAAGGCTTCATGCATTTTGGTGGAGCAATGAAGATTTAATCTTAAGTGAATTGCAGCTAGTTCTTTTATCCCCAAGTATTATAGAAGAAATACTTAATATAAAATTAGATGAAAGTAAAGAGTTTGATTTTGGCAATTATTTATTAAAACGACAATCAGACATTATGATTGATCAGCTCTGTAAAATTATTAAGAAAGACAATATCAATAGAGATGGCGATGATTTGGATGATAAAGGAGATAGTAACAATGACAACAGAAAGCAAGATAAAGATGAACAGTATTCTAATGCATATTGTGAGAACAGCTCAGACAAAATACAAATAAGGCTTCAACATTGGCAACGTGATGTTGCAAATATTTTGTCAATTGCTTGTAATTTGTCAAATTTATTTGATAATCCATCTTCGAGTATATAATGACTTATCTAAATCAATTCCCATAGCACATTTAGCGCAAATGCTTCAAAATAGGAAATATGTAACTGATCTATTTTCAGAACAATCTATTCACACTATTTTTGAGATGTTTGATCAAATAGAGAAGACAGAAATTAACTTGTTTTCACAGCGATCACTCATTTATAGATGCTCAAATACAATTCCGCTTGAATCACCTACCCGTTCTTTTCTTTATAAAAAAATATTTTCCCAAGAACCATTACCGTTTACCTTCCACATAATTTACTTAATTTTTGAGGCAGAAAGTAGTGCACAAGGAGAATTATTCTTTAATCTTATAGAAAATTCGGAAATACTGAATAATACAGAGCAGTTACAAATTATCGAAAACATCTTATCTAATAAAAAAAACTCGGAGATAGCAGCATTAACTTGTGATGTTATTCAGACACAACTTGCTGAATATCAATTTGATGAATTATCTAATTATTTTAATTATTTTCTAAAAGCAATAGATATTTTGATTAGCAGTTCCAAAGAATTACAGAAAATCACTGCAATTGCTCTTTTAAAAATGTTTGCAAATGATTTTTGGAATCGTGCAAAATTTAAAGACAATTTCTTAACATACCCTATCAACTTAGAATTTGTAAACGACATTGATAGCTTAAACAGACGTTTGAAAATAGATCATCCTTTGATTCACTCATTCACAATATATTTGATAAAGTCCTTATATTTGAAAGGATTAACGACTTATGAAATCCGACAATTCTGTGATGCACAACAACAAAATTTGCCATGGGTCGGAATTTTTAAAGCAGATTGTGATAGTCGTCTTGGATTTAATCCTTATTGGTACATTAAACAATTTAAACAAGTTGAACTTTCGTTCAAAAACATTCATTCTAGTGATGAATTAACAGTAAATAATATATTTAATACAATTATTGAATATAATGAGAAAATTTCATTGGTGGGAATAATAATAACAAAGTTTTATCTTATTAGAGCATCACGTGAATTGAATGAGAATGAAGATATTTCAATACAAAAGATTTCTAAGTACTTACAATCATCTCAATTTCCAGATCATTATAAAACGTATCTTTTAAACTTTATGACAAATAAACATCAACTATACAAGCTAAGACCAAATAGTAAAAACATTGATGTATTTATTTCATCAGTTGTAGCTCATGTCGTAGCGTTGAATATTTCAAATTCTGTTAATTCATCCCCTTTAACAGCATACATGCAAGCGTTATGTGATTATAAAGACACTTATATATTGACATGCCCATCAGATGAATTGGCTTCAACAACGAATGTCATAATAGCAAACGATTCAGGAACAAGAAGGTATTTTATTTAATTCATTATCTATTTAAATTTATTATTTTATTCATTTAAATATATTAATATTTGTAGATATCAGTGTAAATGTGGAAATTTTTATTTTATCGGCAATTGCGGACGTCCAGATGAAAATGGTAAATATAATCAGTGTAAAAACAACATTGGTGGTTTAGGCCATAAACTTAATGAAGGAAACAGCAGTATAGATGAAAAGAAAGTAAACCGACCTATTGCAGTAAATGATGTACAAGGTTATATAATTGAAGATACATTTGATACTAATTATACTGTTAGAAGTTTGCATCCAGCCTCTTATAGAATCCTTCATTTATTCTTGCATATAATTATTGGCATTAAAGCACATTTACCAACCACCACTGCTTTTATCAATAATAAGAATATTGATATAACTCAATACTGTAAACAACACATTGAAAATGACTGGAAAGCATTAAAAAGTATTTTTAACTGCGAAGATGAAAATTTGTCATTAGTTATTCATGCGATTCTTTCAGATATGTCACAAGAATTTCAGCAGAATGTAGAAAAATTTACATCACCAGCCCAAAGAAAAGATTGGGAAGAAGGTTTTAGCCAAAAATATATTATACCAAAAATAGAAAACTTTATAGGAACTGCTAATAATTTTCGAATCGCATTAGACAAGAATGCAGCATATTCACTTGAAATTAATGAACCTATTAAAGCTACTGATTACTACAATGAGAACTACTTACCTCTGCTTTGGAGATTAATCAAGAAACCGGATTTAAACAATTTCAGGTCATATTATATGTCTAATTACGAAAACAAAGAAACATCCCCATTATTAAGCATATTTTTAAAACATGAACCAAATTTGAAACTTATTCAATATCTTTCACCAATTGTTAAATTTGCACAAATATTGTCTTCAAGTCTTTCCAATAATATTGAGAGGAAAGACACACGACAATTAACCTTTCAGCAATTTATAAATAATGAAAGTGAAAATGATGACACTGGAAAAACTAGAGAGTCTTTGAATGCAGCATTTAACAACTTTGCGACCTCATGGAACTGTTTGACTCCACATATTAAACGATATGGTTGTAAAGAATTGCCACAAGAAATCCCTAAACTAGATGATCAAACTTCAGTAGTTTATGGATTATATATGCATGAACCAACTGATGAGTCCTTATATATAAGTGCGGTAATAGAATACCTGGTTCAATTACAGAATGATTTTCTAAATGATGTTATCGAAATTTCACCTAGTGCTTGCCAATCATTAAAATTTATTGAAATATCAGACATTCGAGGCTCGAGATATCAATTACAATCTATCAGTCTTGAAAATGCAAAATTAGAACAAATAATTACTTACGTTAATGTTAATGAGGTCTTTTTATATTGTCAATATAATCTTAAAGTAGGTCACGGTCAAGAAATTTATTATGATCTATACAAGATTGAAGCTGAATTGGCTTTAGAATTGGTATATAGAAAAAAATTAATCAATGTTAATGAAGATAAAATGTATTTGAATGCATTTTTATATCATAAAGAATTATTTAATAGATTTATGACAATATTAAAAGAGATTAAAGATTTAATACCCCAAGAATCAATACCCACTAATAATAAACCAGAAATATCAGAAAATCAAACGGAATTACTTTCAGCCCTAGAGATAATTATTTGTTTCCTAAAACAAACATCTGGAAGAGACTGCAATACATTTATTAGCGATTATATAAAAAATTGGATAGAATCAAGTGTGATGAAAAGGAATAATAGTAGTTATAAATTTTTGGCAGGGACTGGATTGCAGCTTAAACATATTATGGCATTATATGAGTTAGTTGAAGAACATGTAGCTGAAAAGGTTGTTAATTTTTTACCTTCAAAGTATCAAGTTGAATTAAATGTACATATAGAGCAAGATATTTTAAAAGCAATAGATTTTGAAGAAAAATCTACAGGAATTCCTGCACATGCGTTCTTGACCGCTTTGAAAAGATTTATTGTAAGATATTTGTCAACTGATAGTGAAATAATTAAAGAAAATATCCAGCTTTCTTTATGTCTTGCAAAAAATGATTCTCTTGAGTGTTGGCCTGATTATGTTTCTGAAAATGTCATAGAAACTAAATTTCCAACTACTTTATTAACTTCTCATGCATAAATGCCTACAAGTATGTTATGGAGGTAAATATTTTATTATTTTTAGTGAATATTATATTTAATTCGTTTAAATGATGTAATACTGATCACGTATTTATCATCGATTTAGAGAAAAAATATTATTGATCATAAAAATCAAACAATGAGAAGTTATCAAAGCGAACAGTATGTTTATTCGAACAAAAGACCAATAAAAGGAGCGCCTAATGGAAAATTTAGAAAATCATAACTATCTTATTAATTACTTCTATATAACTTATTATATAGTTTGTAGTAAAATTGATAGACCTGGGAGATCATGATTTTGTAACTAATATGTAGCTAAAAATGTATAAGAAAGTCTTATTTTATTAAAATATTTGTCTTAAGAACTTTTTTTTTTTAAATTATAGATTCATAAATTATATATTAAAATATATTATCTAAAATCTTGCAGATTTAATTGTCCGAAGGACATTACGGGAGAGTCATAGTGATCTGGTTGTGTGTGTGTCCGCAAATTAAGAGGTTTGATTGGTTGATTGATAAAAACAAACATTTGCTCCGAAAATACCCATTGTCGGACTGATCCGTGATAAGTCCTTCGGACCTTAAATGGCTTCCATTTACCTAGTTTTAAAATACAATATTGTAATTGCCCAAGCAAGGCACAAAGGAAACTGAATGTGATAGCAAGTTCCTGACTTTCTTTCCCAGGTACATTTAATAGATCGAATCGGCACTACTTGATAGAGATGCGATCCGGATATCCGCTAATTTAATTTTATAATAAAATTATTATAAAGAATCCGGATTTTAAATAGGAAAACGGATAACGGATCGCATCTCTACTACTTGATGATTCGATATAGATATCGTTGGACCCATATTTTAACCAGAATAACTGTAGGTAGTGAAAGATTCCTTACAAATAGAACAATGATTATGTCTAATATCTGCAACAGCATCACAAAACTTTCTGAGAAGATTACGGTCATTATTAGTAAGTAACAAACATGTGATGTTTATTTCCTAAAATAATTTATTCTTTTTTTTCCTTAAATTTAATTTAAAATCGTACATTTATTTAATCTGTCTTCGTTAACTGTTTGTTTGTATTGATTTATATTCTCTTTCGTTTTATTATTAGTTGTTAACTGACGTTTACGACGAGCCTGTATCTTTTCTGATTCATTTTTTCAATAAGCTAACCGTTATTCTTCAGTCATTGAACTTTTTCGTTTCCTTTTCGATCCATTTCTTATGGCTACTTGTTCATGTGTATAAGTTCTTTTTCGTTTTTGCATTTTAACCAAAATAAAAAAAGAATGTAACAAAGTCTTCTTTTATTAATTAAAATACTTGCTTACGGTACAATGACGTATTTTTTTTATTTTTACAATACAATGACATATTTAATTCTTACTTTTTATTGATAAAAGTCAGTTTATATATTCTATTAAAAGTCAGCTATTATATTTAAACCAAGAATCAGGATACAGACGTTGATCCGAATTTAGGCTCAATTCAGGTTATTGAACCTAAAATTTGGGTCAGGGTGAAGTGGGAGCCGGAAATTCAGTAGAGTAGTTCACCTCGCTTCTCTCAGCTCCAGCCAAATATATAACCTTTTTATTATACTTTATATAAACGTATAATTTTTTTGTTAGTTTTATTATATAATATACAGTTTATAAATTTATATTACACTTATTTATTATACTATATACGATACTTCTTTAACCAACTATACTATTACATGCTATTGTAATACCGCTGTTGTAATAGTAAAATTACTATATTTAGTTCAAACTTTAATCTATTAGGCATAAAAATATTATACAGCATAAATAACACATATGCATCTCTATAATATGTTTGCTTCAAATTTGGGAAAGTTGCTTTTATTCATCAATAATGTCCGAGATTTCCAATTCATATAAATTAGTATCTGTAAAAAAATTATTAAACAATGCTATAATATAAATATTAAAATTTATTAAAAAAAAATCTATATATAATACCTTGATATTTATAGCCATTATCGGATGAAATAATAGTACTTTTATAATATGATTCATTGTATAGTTGCATATATTCATTTTTTACATTTTGTAGCTTTTTACTAGATTCAGTTAATTCCAATAAAATATTCTCACTATTCTGCCATTCTGCAAAAATATCACATATTTCTGTTGCCGTTGGTCGTTCTTTTGGTTCCACATTCCAACATTTCTTCATCAAATCTGCATAGAATATTGCTGTATTTTCGTAAATATGTGGTCGTAAACCATCACAAACATGTAATTGAAACTGTAATTTGGATTTTTGCTCAAAAGGTACAGGTATACCATATAAAATTTCCCACATAATTATACCAAATGAATAGATATCTGATGCTTTAGTGTATGGTTGATTCTTCAAAACTTCAGGAGAAATGTATGGTAAAATTCCATAAATTGCATCAGATTTTGATTTTAATGCAATATTAGCTGCTATTGATTGTCCTAAATCTGCAATGTATGCACTTTTTAAGTTATTTAATAATATATTTCCACTATGTAAATCCCGATGAATAAGATCTTGAGAATGAATTATCTGAAGATCTGATACAATGCATTGTAGCAGATTCAATTTATCTTTCCAATCCATTTGTGCTATGATATGTAGATTTTTGCGCAAACAACCTTGTAAAGCATATTTCATAACAAGAATATAATCTTTAGAAGTTTCATCTTTTGATATACCATAGCATTTCAAAAAAGTTGGATCTTTTAGACTGATATCACAATATGCTTTTAACTTATTATTAAAAAGAAATGCATACACAAATTATTAATACAAACTGTAAATATTGAACAATATAATAACACTGTTGGTCGATGACTTAAGTCATGTCATTTTTTGAGACGATCTTGGTCATATAATCATAACTTTTGATAATAAGTCATACTAATGTTAATAAGAATTTTTTTACTATGATTCTTACTATATTAGAAAGCCATCAAGTCATGTTAACTTTTGTTATGATCAAATGACCCATGAAAGATATGAATGATCATAAAGGTCATATAGGTCATTTCAGGCCATCGGCCAACGCTGATAAATAAAAATATTAATAAATATTACCTCTTGTATAAATTCTTCGTGGTAAATATTTGATTTATGAAGTAATTTAAGCGCAACGTTTCTGTTTAAATTTCGACTTTTATCATACCATTTAGCATAATATACAGTTGCAAATCCACCATGACCTATCTCTTTAATATCTTCAAATTCATCGTAAGAAATCCATGATAATCGATATTTATTTTCAATTAAAATTTTTTTCATATCATCTCCAATTTTAGAATTATGTAACCATTCATCTGTAGTGAATAATTATTAATAAATTGATAATCGTATAATTTATAATGATAGATAATACCTAATTTTAAATCTTTTTTAATCTGTAAAATTAAATCTTTTTCCCTAATAGGTGATTTAAATATATAAAGTTATTAAATAAAATATATGTATTGATGTACGATGGTAAGCCAGTAGAAACGCACTAAATTTTTTCCAAGTAAATATTTTTAAAACTTTGACCAATATAACTCAACAATAACTTATTAAATTAATAAAAAGTTTTATTAACTTGGGTTAAGTTCTTGTTGAATTAATTTTGTTTAATGCTCGAAATCTACATAACTAAAATGTCTAACTATGCACATAAATATGCGGATTTTCACGTAGCAAAGCATGTGTGAGCTACTAGTAATGTTATTAAAAAATATTGTCATTCCTACTGACCCACCTCATATCATGTAACCTAGTGTCCTGGCGGCATAACACGACTTTAAATCTATAATACGTATCAAGATCAGGTGTAACGGTCTATACTCGTAATGATGGGCAACTTGCTGTTTTTCTAAAAATCCCGCACGGGATACGCGAGTGATTCACGGATAAGTCTTTTCCCATATTACGGAAGTTTATGGAAATGTGGTCAAAATTTTACCTCGACCTTAGAATACTGTATTTCAGAAACACGACAATATTTATGAAAATGGCCCGAATTATACAATATATCCCGCGTTGGATCTAAAAAATCCCACACATCATGCGCGGTGCCCATCACTAATAACTCGAAACTTTAACTCTAGAAGCTAATATATACTTGACTTATTTAAACGATTTGATTGTGGTGCTCCATATTGCACCTGCACAAATTTAAAATTTACCTTTGATACCAGTATTTGGCTTTATGTAAATCTCTTGTTATTCCAATTCCATTTCGGTAACATTCAGCAAGTTTTAGCATTCCATTAGCGTCCCCCATCTCTGCAGATTTTTGATAATAAATGAATGCCTTTTGTTCGTCCTTTTCAACACCAATTCCTTGTTCATAGCAATAACCAACACTTCGTGCCCCATTAACATTACCCAAATCAGCAGATTTTTGAAAATGAATGAATGCCTTGTGTTCATCCTTCTCTACACCAGTTCCATTTCGATAACAAAATCCAACACTACATATTCCATTTGCGTTTCCCATATTTGCTGATTTTTGATAATAAATGAATGCTTTATGCTCATCCTTTTCAACTCCAATTCCATTTCGATAGCAATATCCAACTTGAAATGTTCCATCAGCGTCACCCATCTCTGCAGATTTTTGATAATAAATAAATGCTTTATGTTCATCCTTTTCAACCCATTTACCATAAAAATAACAACTTGCAAGAACAATTTGAACCATAGGATTGATTTGATCATCTAAACAAAATTTGATAATATTATCTAAATTTTGTTTCCTCTTTATTAGAAATTGTTCCAATGTATCAATAATTAAACGGGTGTCTTTGCCTTTCAATCTTTCTTCGTTATATAGATTACACATTTCTTCAACAATTTTATTAAGAAAATCCTGTGACTTGTTATCTTCTAAATGCAATTGTATAACATGGTCAGCCATTTGACTAATATCTGATGAATTATTGACTTTTTTCGGCTGCTTTACAGAAAGGTTTTTATAAATTGACATTTTTAACGCAAGAAAGAATATGCTACATATAGAAGCTCCAAATTTATTGAAGATTTGTTTTACATTGCACAATGTTTATCTCAGGAGCGTAGTGTAGAGTGCGAAATCCGTACACCCGATTGGATAACAATTTCACGTGTAACGTTCTAAATTTGTATATAGAAATTATAACGTAACCAAAAAAAGACAAGGGTAAATATTCAGATATACGCACAGAGAAACACAAAGAAATACCCGAAAAATTATTTAAACAAAAATGTAATGAATGGACATAATTTGCTGAAACAACCTTTAGTTATTGTATAGTTGTATGACGATTGAAATTAATTTCATATATACAATATGAAAAAAATTGGACATGTCACAAGAAACTGTACAATGATAAGCGATACTGTAATAGAGGCACGAATAAGTTCTGTACCATAATTTTTTACAGTATTGTACAGTAAAAATTATGATATTTCAATGCAAACTAACTCAACTTTAGCCACATACTATGCGTCATCGGAATAACGAGCAATTTTAGTAACAGAATTTCTATGGTAACTCATAATGAAAATCACAATAATTTCAATGCAAACTAACTCAACTATAACCACATATAATAAATTAGAACGTTAATTTTATAAAAATTAGGTTTATTTTGTAGATATAGATGTAATCTTTCAGCTTAATAAATTTCCTAGTATTAGATAATCATGTAAATTTGTTTCACGATTTTATGAGCGTTGTTCTACTGTGTTAATTAATAGAATAAGGTGAAACTTGAGTTGCGAAATATGAAATCTGCCTGGTATAATGGGTTAGATGAAATCCGCATTTTATTTTTTATTAGATATAAACGCATTCACATTTCGCAACTCAGGTTTCACCCTGTCGTATAATCATTATACAATACGTGACTTTGGAAAGTAATGTGATTGCGTCTTCGATTATAAACATACAGTAATGTGGCATAAGAACGTAACTGTAAATCAGATTATTTTATAATGAACAAATACATGTTAAACCTTCTTTCTTAAATGTATAAAAGCTTTTAGACACATTAGACACAATAGCTGTTAGTAAAAAACATTCTTTATTAGGCTGCAAAAATGGATTTTAAATTAAAATTTAGAGCTTTTCTTGTTTTTTTTTTTTTTTTTTGCAAAAAAAATAGATTTTTTTTCGTAATCATGTGGGAATATTCCATGATTACATTTATCGTAATAATTTGTCAAAGATTGTTACTATATTTCTTTGATTAATACAGTTAGACCTCTATAAGTGCACGCCACTGGGACCACCCTTTAACAACGTGCATATAGAGAATAATAAGAAAAGGTGCATTTATAGAGGTCAAGTACAGTCAGCTCTGGATATAACGAACCTTTTTATAACGAACTCTGGATATAACGAACTCAAATTTTCTAAATTTTAATATTAGTTCAGTATAACAAGAGCTACGGCTATTAAGAAAATAACGAGCTTTCCAGAACCGAAGGTTCGGTATAGAAAGAATAGACTGTATATATTTGGGCCAGCACTTAGAGAGGTCTGACTATATTGGTATCCAAAACTAAACCGCACATGCTTTCCCAGTACACCGGACAAAAATCAGGTGCGAAATCAACAGTGATTTGATTGGATACGCGCAGTACGCGCTTGCGCAGATCCTCGATTTTGATTGGCTAAGTGCGACGATCAAAAAATTAGTCCGGAATTATGCAGCCGCCCATTAAGTGAAAATTGTTCCTGGGCCAATTTTACCATAATGGGCTTATTTTTAAAGAATTTAAAAAGTCAATTCCGGCCGGAAAAAAGCAACCAATTTTGAAGATCCTCGGCCGTTAGCCAATAAAAATCGAGGATCTGCTGCGCATTTTTTGTGCGCCAATTCGTAGCGTACATGTTCATGTATTTCATTGAAACATGTTAGGTTGCATTTTCTTAATAGTGCCTATTATTTTTTAGTTTCAGCATATAGAGCGCATATGAAATTAATGATAATGTGCACTTTGCGCGTATAAAATTTTTATGTGAGAAAGACAATTACACAAGCAAGGACCTATCGCTATGCCATTTAGCAAGGATATGAATAGTTTATTAATAATGTGTTTTCTTAGGGGCTTAATTTTCTCAAGGGCCTTCACAACCTTTATTTATAATAAAAATATCATATTAGATATAAAGCATATGCCTTATATCTAATTTATTCCATACAGCTAATTTGTCAAATAAATGCCACAAATAAAATATGTACAATTTATTGCACATTCCCCGTGACCAGAGATAACGCTAAGCCGTAGAAGCAGAATCGGGATCCACGGATTAATTAGATCTTTCTGCCCTGCTTTGAAGCAAGCGACATTAACAAATCAAATTCACCAGAATTTTGACACATTCGGTAAAATAAGGAACTGTTGTCGGTAATTAGATTGTATGGGCTAGATAAAGCACAAATATATTAATAAATGATGTGATTGCACGTTATGATAGAGTGTTTGTTTACCTGTCAAATTCTACTACATTTCCTCGATCTTAAATATGAAAAAGCTTAGAACCAATTCACTAAATAAAGCTAAAAAACTTCAATAAATTAGAATTCATTTCATACCAATAACTAATATCTTATCATAATCAATAACAGTATGTAGCCGATGTGCAATACATAGTACAGTACAGTCAGCAAATTCAGTCCTTATCATTTTTTGAATCTTTTCATCCATAGCAAAATCAATGCTAATAATTAAAGGAGATGAAGTAATGAACAAATACACTAAATTAAATGTTTTAAACGAAATTATTAGTAATACCTCGCTGTGGCTTCATCCATCAATATAATTTTTGAACTTCTTAATAAAGCACGAGCCAGACATAATAATTGCCTCTGACCCTGACTAAGATTTTTTCCTCCTTCACTTACAGGTGTATTTAAATTCTTAAATAAATTGTTATAATTCTCTGGAAAAGAGATAGTTTCTACATCCTCTGAAGAAGGAATTAAATGAACACGTCGCAGAGATTCCAATATTTCACTATCCTCATATTGAGAAAATGCATCCAAGTTTGACCGTATAGTACCTAATTATTACTTTATCAGCAAAAAGGCAAATAATAGTTTGATCTTTGACTAGAATTACCTGTAAATAGTATAGGATCCTGTGGAATTATAGTTATTCTAGACCGAAGATCTTCGACACCGATCGATGAAATATCAATTTCATCAATTAAAACTCTTCCAAATGATGGTTCCACGAATCGAAACAATGCCAATGCTATTGTTGACTTTCCAGATCCAGTGCGTCCAACAAGTCCTATTTTTTCTTGACTTTCCACGTTGAATGAAATGCGATGTAGTACTGGCTCTAAATCAGGTGCATATTTAACTTCCAAGTCTTGTACTGCGATTGCGCCATTATGTGGCCAGCAAGCAGGTGGTCTCGGTTCAATTATAGCTGGAGCTTCTTGAGGAATTTCAGAAAATTCGCTTATTCTTTCAACTGCATTCAAGCTCATTTCAAGTGAAGTATATTTTCTAACAGTCCACATTATTTGCTTTGTGAAATGCATTGCAAATGATAAGGACAAGCCAGCTAAACCAGCATCAATCTGGTCAATATTCCATAGAATGAAAAATCCAGCTAAAAATGAAGCAAATGAACTAGTGATATTGAAACGAAATGAAAGCCAGCGATTTATTAGCCGCATATAAAAGAATGGGCGACTGTTGTTATCTATTCTGTGATAGAAAATGACAGACAATATATTAATTAAACGTAAAGCACGTGAAAAGACTTAATAAATCAATTTACAAACTTTAATAGCATATCTTGCATAAATCGCTTCGATTCACCGAAAGCTCTAATTGTTGTTATGCCACTATAAACGACACCAACATTATTAAATCGAATAAAGAAAAAAGTTCAATTTAAAATATGATTCTAACACTAACATTAAAGTTTCGGTGAAGTGAGAATATAACGGGGATCTTGACACAGAACCCATCCTCTTGAGCTCTCGTGAAGCCTTTGCGTATAGTGTACCAACAATTGTATAAATAATACCTGGTTAAAGTAAATTTAAAAAAAAGATAAAAAAAATTTGTATTATTCGTTATCACAAGATCAGGATTAACTAAAATGGCAAGTTACCAAAGAAGATTGCCGCAACGAGAAACTCTATTAATTATGGTCACAATATTAGATTTAATGACTATGTATTTAGAGAATATGATTGAAAAAACTTCAATACCTTTTGTAATGACCGTAATAACAGCCATAGTGCTTAATGTCATGAGTACCTAAAAAAAAAAAAATTATATTGGTAAGTAAATTATATATCCCTCCGGATATGACTACATCTGGTTACAAATGCATTAAAATTTTGGACAGTGCCGTTATAATCAGAGTTATATGTACTATTCACAAAGTAAGACAAACGAAATTTATTTACATTGATCAAAAACCATGCAAGTTCGCCTGGAAAAAAATATTTACAGAAAATAAGAAGGAAATCACAAAATAATTATGATCATAACACTAAGATAAATTACCTGCTAAAGTGCTATCAACTGTTTCAAAATCCTTACTGAATCTATTAAGAATTCTCCCAACTGGTGTCGTATCAAAAAATCTTAACGGAGCGCGAATAACTTGATGAAGTAGTATTTGATAAAGTTTATTAGACGCTCTCAAAGATCCATAAAAAAGCCAAACAAAACGCGAAACACAGAGAATAATAGATAAGGATGCAATTAATACGTATATATTTAAATAATAGTCAACGCTATATGACTTATGAATTATGACTGAATTATCTTGTTGAACTAAATTGAAAATTGATGGAACTGTCGCGTTATTGTTGCTGGCATTTGACCAAACTTGAAGCCACCAATTTTCCATTATCTGTATTCCTCTAGCTCCAATAAATATTACTGAAGCAATAAACCAATAAAGTATATTTCCATTTGCGCGAAAATATGACCTGTAAATCTTAAACTTAACCACGCCAGTTGGTCGTGCTAATAATTAATTACAATCAAGATTAACCTACGTTTTTTGTAAACTGAAGCACCAAATAAATGGTAAATCACACCTTCTTCTTTGATTAGAACTCTTGGTTTGGAGACTTTTTTTGTTTGTTGTGAATCATCCACCTGAGTGATATTCTCGACAAGAGTTACATCATAAATAGTTGATGAATCGGTACTGTGATCAAAATTGGCTGAAGACGAGATTAACTGTTCAGTGACTTTACTGATGCAAGCAAAATTTTCTACGGCCAATTAAATTGAATTTACTAATTCTGATTAACTACCATTCTTATCAGAGATCGAAGCCAATTTTCCTGAATTACGTAATTCTGAAATCACACCAGATGTAACAATTTTTCCATTATCGACGGCAACCTACAAGAATAATCTGGCCGTAATGAGTAAAATATTAAATGTTTATTAAAATGTACTTTTGTCACAGATTGTTTATTCAATACCAAATAAGTGGCACCAGCCAAACATAGACTGATATGATTCGTTACAAGAATTCGAGTACGTCCCATCATAATAGGACCTAATAGACATTTATTCATCAATTGCCAAGCAGTATGTACGTCAACAGCACTGAAAACGTCATCTATGTAGATATGTTTCGCTCGTGAATATACAGCTCTATAAAATTTACAATTTAACTTCAGCTCAACAAAAATTAATTAATTCGTGATCCGCCAGTGAACCAGTGAAATAACATAGTAAATGTTGGGGATAAGTTTACTATGTAAATTTTGC